AGTCTCGTACAGTATAAGTCCTAACTCCTAGTTTCATCATTGTACTTCTCACTGACTGGAAAACAAAACGATGTTGGATTTCTTTTCAATATTAAACCTGAATTTACAATATCTCCTAGTTTATATATACACATATGACAACTCAACCATAGTTCCTCAGTATAAGGTGATAGTGGGGTGATGGTGGTGGTGTTCGATCCAGATCAAATTCTCTCTTAATATCTCTATCATTCCTATTCAGATAATCGAGAGCCAAGAAGTACTAGTTTGAAACTCTTCTGCAGTACGGGTCCACATGGGTTCGAAACCTAGGTTGCCTTTCGGTTACATGGCAATCTCATAACCACTGGTAACCGAGTCCTCAATTGCCAACCGATGAATTCCAACTTCGAACAATTCATGATTTTAAAGCAATCATTAGTCAGAATCTGTTACGGATATTTGTCCTCTCTACACAGACCGGCTGGACCCCACCGGTCAGTGGTCACGACTTCTCACTGGAAATCCAGTCAAATAATTTCATCCTGTTGAACCAGTTACTAGCGAGGATGACATCAATTTTCAAGCGTCAGTTTTGTGATAAATTCCTACAGACCAACTCTTGAAAAAAATATATTCCTTTGCATTCCCACTGAACAATAAGACGTTTCAGTAATGATGATGTTGTCTTTAATGATGCGTGATCCGAGTTCTTCGACCTATATAGGAGCACTCATTCGTGCTATATGAGTGCGTTGAAGATACGAATCTGGTTTCTATTGTTTGAGTGTAGGAGGTAGGCTGGGAAAGTCAAATTAATGATATGGTTTGAGCATGTGTTAAGCGTGCCGAATCCATCGCCTTCGTCGACAGGAAATATTAGATGACATAGGATCGATCAGGTTGGAAAAGAGTTAGTGGTGATGGTCAAACCAAAGCATGGCTTCACCAGTTCATGAAATCTTTAACAGGTAAGTTTTAGCTAGCCACATAGTTAGGTAGGTGTAAACTGCCAGTATATAGTCGGGTTCCTCGAGATTCTGAAGACGGATGACTAAACGATTGGTGTATGATGACTCGAAATCGTTATCAATGCCTGGTGCAGATAAATTCACCCTTTATCTCCCTCTGTTTTATGGTGGTGGCAAGTTGAACTGCTCTACTTCTGTTCAGAGTTCTGTATTGAAACCAGTCAGTCAGCTGGTCACTTTTACAGATTAAGGCTGCTAACCTTCCTCTCAACCTGCTGTCTACACCGGGCTTACAACTAACTGACTAGGCTTAGCGAGGTTTACCAGTGGGTTGGCAGGGGATCGAACCAGGGGCCACATGGGGTGTGTGGTTGGCTACAATTCTACCGCAGAATCATCGACTCATACATGTATATATATATGTGTATATATATATATAATTTCTTTTAATTCCTAGAGGAACATAGGGCTTCAGCCGTGCGTCTCCATTGCGTTCGGTCCTCTGTTAGAGTCTTCACCTGGCTCCAAGTCTGCCCACACGTTGTCATCTCCTCTTCACATGACCTCCTCCAAGTCACCCTTGCACTGACGACCATTTCGCCGCTTCCCTATCCGCCGGGTTCCACTCGAGCAATGGCTTGTCTAGTGATGTCACTTGATGGTTTCCTCAGAGTATGGCCTCCAATCCATCTCCATTTCTTCCTGCCTATTTGTAGCACAATCGGTTCCTTGTCGGCTCGCTCCCACACGTCCCTATTGCTGATCTTTTCTAACTGGCTATCTGATCTTGAATAGTATTGAGCGAAGACAACTGTTAATGACGGTCTGTAGTTTGTTTGAGATGGTCTTTATGACGCGCAGTGCAAGTCTCTGATCCATCCGTATAGTAGCACTGACTTCACATTGTGGTTGAAAATTCGGATCTTATTTTTGATGCTGAGTGCTGGCTGTTGACCTCCACACAGACTTGAGAGTAATGAAAGCTTGTCTTGCTTTCCCGATCCTCGCTGCTTTGATATCCTCATCAGTTCCGTGTGTTATTCCCCTTTTTATGAGTATTACTCACCATGTGTTTGTGTGTGTGTGTGCACTTCGTGTTTTTGATTGTCAAACTCTAATTCCTGATTTGTATATCCTAGAAGTGACATTCTAGGTTATTCTGAAATGTATCAAAAGCAAGCCAATTAATAAATCACAAAATAATGGAGCAAAGAATATTCCTTTCGATAAATTCCTCTTCCAGGCTCTACAATTATATATATGTTTATATACACAGAATATTCTAGATTAGTAGTTAATAACAATATTAGTGTTTTTTAAAATAATATCGATTTGTAAAGTAAGATCACAATGGAATTACAGTTCATTAGAAATGCTTAAATTATTATAATAATAATAAAGATATAACAGCGAATAGAATATCAACTAAAATTAGGGAAATTTCACAAAAATTCTGGATTATTCAAACCTGGATGGCCAAGGTATTGATAATGACTGAACTAACTTCTTTTAGGTGCGTAAATTAGGCTTATTAATATGAATCCCAACAACCAGCCTCAGCAATATTTAGAAGTCGAACTCTTAAAGCGAAATTGAGATTCGTAGGTATGCGGTAAATGACCCTGAAGGCATGATTAACGTCAATCTTGTGTTCTGTTTCCACAAGAGGGGATAGAATAAAGCTCCGAATAGATTTTGTTTGTCCTTTACTTGACCAGGCAGGGTGATGCTCAGAAATTCGACGAGAAACACGCCTAATTGTACGACCTATGTAACTGGCTCACTCCACAGGAGCAGTTAAATTGGTATATACACATGGAAGAGGCGAAATTAGGCAGTTTGTCTTTTATTCCCGAACGCAGAAGAGGAGTGGTTTTAAAGATACAGCGTAATTCAGCAGCAGGGAATGCTCTTTTTACCGCATTTCTAAGGCGCTGTATTAGTATCTCACTTGTGTTGTCTCCCTGGAACTGCATCTGTAAGGATAAGGCTTTCTTTGGAACTGTTGGTAACTTGGACTGTTTTGGTTTCAGTTTCATATTCTTATCAATAAACTTTTCGGGATAACCATCCTCACTTAGCAACCGTTTAATATTGTTAAGCTCCTCGCCAATACATTCATCCGGGCAAATCTATCTTGCTCTGTGGACCAGGTACTTTATTAGATTGCGTTTGTATTAATAAATGCTGTCTTATCTGGTTATTATTATAATATTATTATTATTAATAGTAGTAGTATGATTATAACTGTTATTGTTGTTGTTATTTTTTGAAGGGCAAGATAGGAAGGATACAAGGATATGTGTTTATAAGTTACCCTTATATATGAGGCAGTGAGAGAGAGGAAGAGGGAGGGAGAGAGACTGATTTTATTTAGGTCAATCTTTTTATGCTTGTTATGTGTGTTCACCATAGATAACTAACTGATGAACAACCTTCACCCACATTATCAATTATTATTGTGCACCCGATTTCTCTCTTCAAATCAATCAAAAGTTTATTATTATTATTATTATTATTATTATTATTATTATTATTATTACTAGTTCACTGTCATAAAGTAGCGGTGATGAGAATTATCGTGAGATAATTACTTTGTGTCCTAATATAATTGTAATTATTAATGATTACATATAAATAGCAAAAATAATTAATAATTATAATAATAAGCCATCACATCTAAAGTTGGATCTTAATCTATTTCTGATCTCTACATATTTTCAAGAGTTTGATTTCTAAGGATTCGATTTGTTTATACGAGTGTTGACCACGCACGGATTGATGACAGTTAGAGAACCATTGGATAAACCAATTAGGGAGTACTGCCAGACAGCTAGAGCTGTTTCATCCAACTAGTTTGGAAATCATCGGCAGTAGGTAGCTACCCACCTATCAGGGTTCGAACCCAGGACTTCCATGTTACAAGGCAAGCTGGCTCGTATACCTTTCAGTCACTGGGAACCAACCTGATTCAATGGCCAGTGCATGAGTTTTAACTTCTAACAATTCGTGATTTAGCGCAACTGGCACCAACCAATGTCATTGGACCTTACTGGTCACGACTTCTTACTGGAACTCTAGGAAATTCTGTCCTGTAGCAAGTCCTCACTAGTGTGAGGATGGATGTCCCACTGATGACATTGGTAGAAGTTAGAATTCGTGCACTGGCCATTAAATCGGTTGGGTCCCAGTGGCTGAAAGGTATACGAGCCAGCTTGCCTTGTAACATGAAAGTCCTGGGTTCGAGCCCTGATAGGTGGGTAGGTACCTACTGCCGATGATTCTCAAACTAGGATGAAACAGCTAGCTGTCCAGTACTCCCTAACTGGTTTATCCAATGGTTCTCTAACTAATATCTATTCGTGCGTGGTCAAACTCATATAAACAAATCTCTGTGTCCTTCTCTTGTTTTTACTTTGTCTTTCTCTTTGAACGTTGTTGTTGTTGTTATTGTCGTTTTGTGATTGTATTTGTTTGTTGAAAATCATTCCTTGGTTGATGGATTATTTTTGCTTTCCTCTTCCCTTGCCTGCCTGCCTGCTTGTCTTCCTTCCTTCTTTCTTCCCTTAATTCTTCACCCTTAAAGCTTTGTTTATTATTGATTTTCAAGCGTTAATGATGATAGCGCATGGAGACAAGTGTTCAAAATAAATTATGTAATAGACAGAATGGGTAAAGCATTATTAACAAAGTAGTAGAACGTGAAATTATACCCAGTGTAGAAGGGGAGAGTGAAGTAGTTTCTTTTTGTGTACGCATAGATCAGGCTTTCCTATCCAGATCACGCTAAAGCCTCACTCATTCAGCAATGTAAAGTATACGGAAGCTTGCCGTTTTATTGGGAGGTTTCTTTTGACTTTGTAGATGACTTTCGTCCTAGTTTGGGGCTCTTCATCAGTACTCATCCACCGGGATTCGAACCCAGGACCTTCTGGTTACAAGGCGAGTTCGTAGAGCATTAAGCCACTGGACCCGATCCAATGGCCCATTTTTATTATTATTTATATAACATGTTCACTAATCTCGTGGTTTACCTTATGTGTTTTTCAGTTCCAGGTGGTCCTGTCTCTGGAAAAATTCGTGTTCCAATGGCATCTGAATCAAGTGATCCAAGGAATTCAGCTGCATCACAGGAGATATTAGTCAGGGAGGGTCAAAATGTCTCTTTATTCTGTATTATACAAAGTGCACCGCCACAAATGGTAACCACTTATCCATTTGACCACAATAAAACTGCACAGAATCGATTTCATCGACACAATCCATTTGGTAAGCACTTGGTTGATGATTTTGGCTTTTAAATGCCAGGGGGTGGGGGTGAGGGGGCGTTGGGTGCTTGGTCGGGGGGGGGGAGTTATTAGTTTGTTCATGACTTTCATTTAAGGGTTTTAAGTCTATAAAAGCAATTGATATATTAGTCTATCTGAAGCATATTTTCATCCCTTTCTTTTGTAATAATGTTGTTCAAGGTAGTTGGGCTTCATTAATTGCTTTTATCATAACCACTTCTGATAAAGAGAGGAGTCTAAAAGATCTGGGCTACGCGGATGATTTATGTCTAATGTCACATGAATTCGAAGACTTACAGACGAAAATGACTGATCCTATTCAGGTAGGTAGTTACCTGGGGTTCTAGTGGGAAGTCGTGACCTGGGAGTACTGGACAGCTGTTTTCGCCATCCTAGTTTGGGACTCTTCAGCAGTGCACACCCATCGGGGTTCGAACACAGGACCTTCTGGTTACAAGGCTAGCGAGCTCGTAGACCACTGAGCCACTGGGACCCGATCCAATGACCAGCCCATTAATTCTAAATCCTGCCAATTCACGATGTAGCGCAACCACTAGCTAATGTTTTGAATATCAATGAGATGCTCACTGGAGACTGGCCCTATTCAGGTAGGTAGTTACCTAGAGTTCCAGTGAGAAGCCGTGACCAGTAGGGTGCAGCAGGTCGGATGTGACGACAAATACTCGCCGAAGACATTGGCTAGCGGTTGCGCTATATCGTGAATTGGCAGAAGTTAGAATTCATGGGTTGGCCATTGGATCGGGGTCCCGGTGGCTTAATGGTCTACGAGCTAGCTGGCCTCGAAACCAGGTCCTGGATCCGAACCCTGTCGGTGGGTGTGTACTGATGAGGAGTCCCTTACTAGGACGAAACAACTGTGCAGTACTTCCAGGTTTTTCAATGGTTCTCTAACCGATGTCAGCTCATGATGAAATCCTGTAACCAATCAACGAAATCCCTACAAACCAATACTTGAAAACGATCTAGTTGGTAGGAGAAGACGGAGGTAATGAAGGTAACGAATTCACCGACAACAAGTAGTGACCAATCACTATCAGCAGAAGAAATTTGAAAGAGGCCACTTCCTTCCTAGGCAGCCGGTCATGATTGGAAAAGCAAGCTAGACCTTCATCATTGTGAAATCAATTTGGAAGGTCTCAACGCCAGGAATAAGATTCAGATTTTCAACAGTAATTTGTTAATTCGGTCAGTTCTCCTGTATGAATCAGAAGCTTGCACTGCACGTCACGAAAAGCGTTTCTAACAAGACCACTGTGGAATTTTTATCCACAGCTGTCTTCGTTGGCTCTATATTATGAAGGTGAAATTGCCAGAAAGGATTAGAAGTAAGGAACTCTGGGGGTACGGGTGGAAACAATGAACTATTCCCCAGGAGAAAGAGGAAGTGGACTGAACACACGCTGAAGGGGACCGTTGGGTGACATCATGCCATCTCCAGGCCATTGGTCAAGTGGTATCCGAATTGGAAACGGAGAGTTGGGCGTGAACCCGAGGAGGAGAACAGGACAAATTGGAGGTGTATGCCAGATGTTGAAAGACAGCGGTTACCCTCAAAAATTCATTAACAGTTACGGGAAATGTAAAGGCTGAAATGCCAAACAAATCGCAGTGGGAAAAGAAGCCTGTCTTCATTCAACTCGATGTTAAAGGTGATAATACTGCAGGAATAGTCAATAGAAGTCTGTCTGTCTGTTTTCGACATAGAACTTTGCACATATGTGCGACAGTTCAAGTCGCCACACTCCCTCCTTGTAGCACACACAAAGCAAGAGAAGAAAGTAGAAGAAATGCATAATATAGTCAGTAAACAGAGGTGTGAGACAAAGGAATAGTAATAACGAAGAACAAAACAGTTTCATTGGAAATCATGAGTCACAAGGAGTGGATGCATCTGCGATTTGAGCCATGTCACCAATTGTTTCCAACCATTGCTTTTTACCGTCCCGAGGACCCCAACCGGGAAGTCTACATCTTCCTACATGGCTTAGAATAACTGTTGTAGATTTCATTGACTGGTACCATGTTTTGGTTTGACCGCCACCGCTAGCTCTTTTCCAGCCTGACCCTATATCAGCTAACATTGCCCATTGTCGAGGAAGGCGATGACTAGGCATGCGTGTGTAACACATGTCCTAACCATCTATCTCAATCGATGTAATTTCGCAGTCTCGTCGACTGATTTCCCCTCCTTACCTAGCACTCGACCGATGTCTAACCTCAATATTGCTCACCTTATTATACCACTTCACGTGGGAGATAGAACGCAGACACCTATGATCGAGGACAGCTAATCTTTTGATGTCTTCCGCTCTCAATGGCCAGGTCTCACAGCCATAAAGGAGGACGGAGCGGACTGATGAGCAGTACACCCGCCATTTCGTTGATAGTCGGATATTACGTCTACGCCAGAGACGGTGTAAACTGGCATATGCGAAACTAGCCCTCTGTATCCGTGCTGAGATTTCGTCGGAGATCAACCCGTTGGCACTGGCTGATGGTACTTCCCAAATAAGTGAAGTGGTTAACGTGCTCTGCCACTTTACTTCCTATTTCTAATCTAGGAATCGGTGTAGTTCAATCCTGTAATATCATCTTGCATTTGGCAGGAGTGAATCGCATGCCAAACATTCGTAGATTGCAGCTCAAGGTGTTCAGAAGACTCTGCATATTAATGTACATGGTCTGGGGGTTCGTTTCTCTGCTGACGCACTGCTAAACCTCGATAAACCCAGGAGTAATCCTAGTAGAGAGAGGGAAGTTTGGGCGTGATGATGGGGGCTGGCTAGCAACCCACACCCTGTAAAAATAAACACCACCGATACCGCAACACCTCAAAGATCTATCTATCCCACTCGGAACATAAAAGGAATAATTGATTAATTAATTAATCGATTAATTAGAGGAAAAGGATGAAGAACATCTTAAATAAAAAAAGAGCAGTAGTATTACTACCATTATTCATCTACATGCCTTGTTCTGTTAATTTTCTGTCGTTATAGATTTTTAGAAAAAAGCAGAAGTGTAAAGATGAATCACTATGGTGATGATGATGATGATGTCAAGGGAATTCTGTACGAACTGTTAGTGACTAATGTCTCTCTTGCGTACGTGTATATTTTTTCCCCAGACGTTTTTGGGGAGTTGTCTTTATAGGTAGGGTGCCTGCTTGTGCATATATATAATTATACATATGTGCTTGAGTGAATTATTGAAGCATAACAGAGATAAATACTCTCTATGATGGAAGTGATTCACTAAAATATTACAACCCCGCTGGCTCTCAAATATTGTTTGGTTTTTCATAACTTATAAAGCATTTGTCGGTCTGGTTCAATAAATAACGTATGCATATAATTGGTGGATTGTAACTAGCAGTGGGATCCATGAAGATGCACATTCCCCAATGGATGATGATGTTCCCGCCCTGACTCGAACCCAGCGCCCTTAGTTTCTAACGCCTAAGCGTTATCCACTAGACCACTTGGACGGCCACGAGAGCCACCACCTCTTGTGCAACGGGTCATATTAATTATTTAATTGAATTTTAGATTTTCCCGTCGATTGATTGGACCAAAGTAGTGCTCGGTCTCAGGTTGATAGGTGCATCTAGTGGTTTACGAGTCACAAATAGGACGAAATGCACTATCTTCCCTGGATTACACTGCTAGTCACCATCCACCAATTGAATTCTAATTACATGCCTAGACATCGTCGATGCATTTGCACAAGAAGCCGACATGTCAACCTGAGACCGAACACTTTGGTTCAATCAATCGACAGGGGAAAATCTAAAATTCAATTAAACCTATGCATAGTTAACTGATGTGAGTGAGTGCACTCTTCAGGTTCAGGTTGTGCTGTCATATAGTTAGTGATCTGATTGTCCATGGGTGATAATTTTTATTCTGAACTGTGTTTATCTAATATACAGAAATTTCAGCAGAAATTATTGCATGATAGTTTCTTTTCGTCCAGAATCTACGAGTAAAGTATTAACTGACAGTAAATCTCTTCTGACACATTGTGCTGTGTCTAACCTGAAGCGTAGATGAATCCCTCCTCTACTTGACGATATTTCTTCTTTGTTTCTCTGTGTGTCTCCTTTCGAGAAATACCAAATATATTTAGTTGAATGCCAGGGGGAGTACATTTCGAGTCAATTAAGGACATAATATCTCATGTATTGAGACGTTGGTATTGTATTCGATTGTTTGGAGGGTTTCATCATGAGTTGACATTGGTTAGAGAACCATTGGAAAACCAGTTAGGGAGTACTGGACAGCTGTTTCGTCAGCCTAGTTTGGGACTCTTCGGCAGTACTCACCCACCAACAGGGCTCGAACCCAGGAACTTCTGGTTACAAGGCGAGCTAACTCGTAGACCATCATCAGCCACTGGAACCCGATCCAACGGCCTATGAATTTCCGAACATCACCCTGCCTAGTGGTTAAGTAAAGGACAAACAAAATCTATTCGTAGCGCTATTCAATCTCATCTTGTGGAGACAGAACAGAAGATTGATGTCAATGAGGTGACTTTCAAAGTCATTTACCGCATATCAATTAATCTTAACTTCGCCTTAAGAGTTTGTCCACTGCATAGTACTGAGGCTGTTGGGATCCACATTAAGAAGCCTAATTTATGTGTCCAAAAGAAGAAAGCGATTCAGACATTGTCCTTACCTTGGCCATCTAGGTTTGAATGATCCTGAATTTTTGTGGAATTTTCCTAATTTTAGTTGATATTCTATTTGCAATTATACTTTTATGCTTATTATAATTTAAGCATCCTTAATGAACTGTAATTCCATTGTGATCACACTTAACAAATCGATATTATATTTAAGAAACACTCATATTGTTATTGACTACTATTCTAGAATATTCTATGCTCATAAACATATGTATATATAATTGTAGAGTCAGAAGAGGAGGAAATTAACGAAAAGGGATATTCTTTGGTCAAATATTTTGTGTTTTATAAATGTCTGAATGAATATTTTTGCTATATAGATATAATTTTTTTTCTATGGGCAATTGCTTTTTTCTGTATCAGGTCTATTGGAGATAACAAATGTCCAACCAAGCGATGCTGGTATATACATATGCACAAATCATCAACTCAGTTCTACAACTCAATTGCGTGTACAAAGTATGTTGTAGTAGTAGTAGTAGCAGCAGTTTTGTTAGATTGTTAATGTTTTTATTGCTGATTTCACTCCGTTTTATTTTTATTATTTTTTTCTATGTCTGTTTTTTCCCCCGGTTGTTTTTTTGGTTTTTTTTTATCACTTGCGCTTCTAGAAATGTCCACTTTTCTGTCTGACAGACATTGAAAATGATACTGTTTTTTGAAGTATATATGCATATATATATTTAAAATTTTTATGAAAACTATTTTTTGTTGTTGAGATTTTTAGATTAATTTGCATATCTGGTTTGATTATGAGTGGTCATCAGTTAGAGACAACCATTGGTAAAGCATCATCCGTTTCGTCCTAGTTTTTTAGGTCTCTTCATCATCAGAACGCACCCACTACCAGGGTTCGAACTCGAGATCCTTCTTCCGGTTAAAAGGCCAGCAATTTTGTAGACTGTTCACAGCCACTGGGACGCGATTGAGTGGTCAGCCCATGAATTCTAACTTCTACCAATTCGCGATATATATATATATATATACATTGATTATAGCTTGATATTACATCGTATTTTTGATATAAGTATGGAATTTTCAGCATGTGATATCGATAACCCAACTTTGCAGGCTGACCATTGATATTGGATGTGCATCGGGAAGGAGTCGGACCCCGGGCCATATGCATGGTCGGCGAGAGTTCTAACCTCTGTGCCACCGACACATTTCCCGTTGGACTCAACTATTCTGTATCCATGGTTAGAGAACCATTGGAAAACCAGCTGGGAGTACTGGACAGCTGTTTTGTCGTAGTTTGGGACTCTTCAACAGTACGCACCCACCGGGGTTCGAACCCAGGACCTTCTGGTTACAAGGCGAGCTCAATGGGATAACTGGCGACTGGCCCTATTCAGGTAGGGGTGGGTTCTAGTGGGTGCAGCAGGTCTGGTGTGACAACAAATACTCGCCGAAGACATTGGCTAGTGGTTGCGCTATGTCGTGAATTGGCAGTAGTTAGAATTCATGGGCCATTGGATCGGTTCCCATAGATTTAATGGTCTACCAGCTCGCCTTGTAGCCAGAAGGTCCTGGGTTCGAGCCCTGCCGGTGGGTGCGTATTGCTGAAGAGTCCCAAACTAGGACGAAACAACTGTCCAGTACTCCCGTTGGGTTTTCTAGTGGTTCTCTAACTGATGTCAGCTCATGATGAAATCCTGTAACCAATCAACCAAATCCCTACAAACCAATACTTGAATATTCTGTATCCGTTGATGTGTCGACTTCGGCCACGCATGCTATGATGATGATGTCTGAGAATGAATGTGATGTTTTCGGTATTGTTTTACTAAGATTTTTCATTTTACTTCTTCGTTGGTATTTAACTTTACTCACTGCTACGTGATATTCATGCAGAAAACACCACTCACTCACTAATATGCAACATCTTGTCAGAGTAGCGCATGCTACATTTGTTGTTGTGCTTATTTGTTAAATGACAATGTTAACCATCATTCGTATCGATGAGTTAAAATTAGCATGTTATTTATTATTCCCTAGGGTTGCAAGACGAACCTAGGGATTCAACAGCAAATTTTCATTTTGTTCTGTCCTCTGCCAGTACTCTTCAGTTGGCCTCTCAAATATGCATAGTTTGTCATCTTCTCCTCACTGTCGAACGCCCAACTCGTCCCTTTCCCCCACCCATTCGGGTTACATTCAACCAACGGCCTGTTGTCCAGTGTCACCCGATGGTCTCCTCAGGATGTGTCTTATATCCATCTCTATTTTAACTCGAATGGTTCGTTCCCATAGTTTTGTTGTGACTGATTCTTTCTGGCCGATCATCTAATCTTCGGTATGAAGCCAACGAAGAAGACAGCTGGTGAGATAAAAGTCCACAGTGTAGCCTGTTTGAAGTGCTCTTTGTGACGCACACTCAAAGTTTGTGACTGAATTAACATTGTTGTTGAAAATCGGAATTTTGTTGTTGTTTTTGTTTTGCATACTGAGTGCAGTAGCTTTCCAAACAGAATTTCATAGTGATGAAGGTTTGATCAGTGTCTGTAAGTATGGTATGTACTTTGCGCCGTCTAACTGTAAAGTACTGTTATAAGATTGGCTGGAGCCTGTACCTACACTCACGCTTGCGGGTGAACCGCTTGAAGTTGTTGATAAGTTTGTGTGTCTGGGTAATTGTGTGTGTGAGTGCTGGCGGAGGAGTGACGGATGAGATTTCCAACCGTATAATGAAGGCTAGGGTGGCATACACCAACTTGAGCCACCTCTGGTACCGTCGTGACGTTAGCCTGGCTGTCAAAGGTCGGGTATACAATGCTTCGGTGCAGGCTGTCTTGCTCTACGCCTATGAAACCTGGCCTCTCTGAGCTAAGGATGTGAGGAGACTCTGCGTGTTTGATCATCGCTGTCTCGGCAAGATTGCTTACGTTCGATAGCATCATCGCGCGAGTAATTCTGAGGTTCGGTGGCGTGTGTTTGAACACAGTGGAGATCACCATTTTGTTGAGTGTCGTCATCTGGAAACACCGGCTCCGGTGGCTTGGACATGTGCTTCGAATGTCATCCCAGGGCCTTCCGTATAGGTCTCTGTTCGCTAGCTAGCTCTGGGACGGGTTGGAAAAGGCGGAGGGGAGTGGTCAGTCCATGACGTGGCGTCGTGGGATGAAGGATGTTTGTGTTAGATTAGCATCGGTTGGTGCGCCAGGACTCCCTCATTGGGGTCCGCGAGATAGCTCGAATCGATGGCTCGAAACGTTATCAGATATGGCCAAGAATCGTAATCAATGGTGGACGTGTTGCGATTTTCTTCTTTCTTCCCTTCCTGACGATAGTTGACGAATACTGTTTGAAATTGTTAAGTATGACTGTTTTCCTTCAAGATACTTTACTTACTTTACTTTACTTCGGCTATCTCCTACGGGAGGATGAGCTGGCTTCATGAACATCTCGAATCTCGCTGCCCAGGCGCGGCGATCTGATGCAAGGTTTTGCGACAGGGTTATATAATTCTTGTTCCACAGACGGAGTCCGTAGACGGTTTGTAGCCCCAGGGACTCCATATCAGCCTTGACTGTACCAAGCCATGCTTTCAGCTGTCCACCCCTGCGACATCACCAAGATGGTAATGGCGAGGGATGTAGAACTGATTTGACCAGATCGTCATCTGGTCGGCTGAGAACATGGCCAAACCACCGAAGGAGACGTTGTTGGACCAGTACTGGAATTTGGTTGATGTTGTAGCAACGACGACGCACTTCTTCGTTGGAGAGTTTGTCCTGCCAACGAACATGCAGAATGTACCTGATGCACCAATGGTCTAGTACCTCGAGTCTGCGTACATGAGTGTTCATGAAGTTTCATGGGAATTTGATACAAGTGATGTCCCCAGAATCGCTCGGCCTTTTGTTTGAGAGTGCACCTCTAGCCTTTACACAACGTAGTGTGACCTACAAGGCAGTAGGAGTGGAGTAGGGAGTCCACTATCCATTGGCAGCCGGTGACCGGAGTTCGGTTCATACGCCTTTTTGAATGGGGCCAGACATCCAGGAAATCCAACAAGCCCTTTGTCCATACGTCTGCCGGTGAGCTCCAGTGAGCTTCATACGCCAGTCGTTGGAGGTTTGGAATCAGGGTTTAGCCATCTCCCCTAGACTGTCATTCAATGGACAGTCAATCCGGTGAAGAGCACCGGACATCCGCTTTCGCCCTCTCACTTTGGTGAAAAACACCTCCGCCACGTGAAGGCAGTGAGTAGGACTTCCTCAGGAGAGGCTATGTAAGACGCCCAGCCATATGGGAGCATTTCAAGAGGTGTGCGGAGGGGTGGCCAACCCGCAGCGCAAGGCACGCACCCCCGACCATCCTGAGGCTTTGGAGGCTTTTCCTTCAAGATGAAGTTCTGTATCCGTTCTCTACGTATATTTTTTACTTTTAACCTATGTTGTTTTATTATTATTGTGTGGCGCATCTTTCTTGGTGCCATATTGTACCAAGTTTTCTCTGCGTTTAAATAAAAATAATAAGTTAAATAAATAAGTGATGAAGGTCTATATGTTGCCTTTCGCTTGCTGGCTGGTATTGACATCCTCATCTCTTGTGCTGGCCGTAGTGTTGAGAAACGGTGCTGTCTAGTTTGAGATAAGTGGAAGAAGTGACCTCTTTTAAACTTATTCTGCTGGTAGTGATTGGTGCTTGTTGTTGTTGTTAATTGGAATGTTGGTCGCTTCTCTCGTCATCACCTCCGTCTTCTCTCTATGTTCATCTGAATTCCTGTCTCAGCTGGCTGTTTCTCCTCGCTCAACCTCAAAATGGATTTTTTCATGTAGCGAGATAAGAAGAAGAAACCTTTATACACACACTAACATTTGTTAACACACATTTTATATTAATTGACCTTTCTCGCTTGTGTTTTTTTTTAAAATGTTTTGCCTACAGGACGTTTACGGATAACTACAAAGCCGCAAGATGTTTTTATTCATCGTTTCGGTGAAACTGTTCAATTCAAGTGTACTTCATCAAATGATCAAGTTATCCCCTATTGGTTATTTAATGGACAGCCAAAAATCACGGGGATTGGAAAAAGTTGGTTCCATTATTATTATGATTATTTTCATTACTATTACTTTTTCATTTCCTTCTGCATTCCATTCTGAGTAGAACGTCTTAGTAGAGTGTGTTTTAAGCTCTTGAGCTGTAAAGTTTCAAAAATTAGTGGTGATGTACTTTATTTTATTAAAGGCACGGAGCGGGGTCTGTCTGTTTGTCTGTTCTCAACATAGAACTTTGCACATATATGCGGCATTTCGAGTCACCACACTCCCTCCATGTAGCACACAACGCAAGAGAAGAAAGTAGGAGAAATGCATGTTAGAGACAATAAATGGCGGTGTGAGACAAAGGAATAGTAATAACGAAGAACAAAACAGTTTCATTGGAAATCATGAGTCACAAGGAGTGGATGCATCTGTGCTAGCCACTGAGAACGATGAGTTTGAGCCATGTCACCAATTGTTTCCAACCACTGGTTTTTACCATCCCGAAGGAGCCTAACCAGTCAAGAAGTCTACACCTTCCTACGTGGCTTAGACTAACTGTTGTGCATTTCATTGACTGGTGCCATGTTTTGGTTTGACCGCCGCTAGCTCTCACGCCTGTAACCTTTTCATCCTTACCACCGGGCCTACTACTGACTGACTAACCGACTGATTAATCGACGTTTAGGAGTAGTGAGTCAGACGGGAATCGAACCGTGGACATTATGAGGTGGTGGTGTGGTTGGTGCGAACAACCTGTTACGATGGTTCATCCACTGACAGGTTTTCTTTAACTCGTCCTATTATTGATACTCTTGGGTGTTAAAGCGTGTCTATAATCTGGAGAGTGAAGTTATGTTCTTTTGTCTTCGCTAGATGTTAAAATTAAAACCTGCTGCTGTTTTTTTCTTTATTGGACACTACAGTAATTAGTCGTTTGTTCGGTACAGACTGGATTCTATCAGTCGGTTAAGTTGGCAATGTGTGATCACCTTGCTAGATAGATTGCCGTTATGGTGCACTTTGCATTGTTGATATTAGATGGTTGGAGGTAGTTATCGGCGGGAAGCCAAAGACATGGAATCAGTCAATGCGATCCACAACAGTTAGTCTAAGCCAGCCAGCCAGTCCGGTTGGGGTCCTCTGGATGGTAAGAACCAGTGATGACTGGAGACCTATCGTTGCTGATGATATGGCTCAAAATCGTTGTCAATTGCTGGCACAGATACAATCACTCGTTGTAATTTGTCATATCCAATCGAAGTACTCTATTGTTCTTCCATATTTCTATTACTTTTTCCCTCACTCATACTACTCTCTATCTTTTGAATCTCTCTTTATTCTCTTCTCTTGTTTTGTGTGCTAAATGGAAGAGGAGTGTGGCAACTCGAACTGGTGTACATCTGTGCAAAGTAGCAGTTCTACGTTGAAACCAGTAAGTCAGTCATTGAGTGATGAATAATCGTTTGAAAATGCTTGATCAGAGAGAGAGAGAGGAAAGAAAACAAAAGACTGAAAACGATTTCAGAAGAAAGAAAGAAAGAATAAAACGGACTTTATTATTATTATTATTCCCTTGGGTTCCTAGTGGAACATAGGGCTTCAACTACACGTCTCCGCTTGCTTCTGTCTTCTGCTGTACTTTTCACCTGCATCCATGTTAGTCCATACTGTTTCAGCTCCTCTTCACACGATCTCCTCCATGTCACCCTTCGACGTCCCACTCGCCGCTTCCCTTTCGGGTTCCACTCGAGCAATGGGCTGACGCGCGATGTCACCCAGCGGCCTCCTCAGTGAGTGTCCAATCCATATCCACTTTCTCCTGCATATCTGTTGGGCGATTGGTTCTTGTTTTGTTTGTTCCCATAGTTTCTTATTGTTGGTGATTGTTTCCGGCGGCCATCTGATCTTCAGTAGTATAGAGCCAGCGAAGACAGTTGTTGATAAAGGTCTGCAACAGGCTGTTGGAAATATTCTTTGTGACCCGCCAAGTTTCTGATCCGTATAGAAGAACTGACTGACTTGACGTTTGTATTGAAAATCCGAATTTTGTTGTTGTTGTTGATGTTGAGTGACGAAGATTTCCAGATTGGTTTCAGGTTGATGAATGTGTTTCTCACCTTCCCGATTCTCGATTTGACATCCTCGTCCCTCTGTTCCTCCTGTAGTTGAGACAATGCTCCGTAGATAAGTGAATGAAGTAACCTCTTTCAAATCCCTTCGGTTGATGGTGATTGGCGCTGGATGTTGCTGTTGTTGTTGGTTGGTTGGTTATTTTCATAACCTCCGTCTTGTCCATGTTCACCTGGAGTCCTGTCTTTGCTGCCATCCTCTTCGACCAGCTTGTCGGTTTTTGCTTGTAAGTCTTCGATTTTGTGTGACATCAAACATAAATCATCCGCGAAATCCAGGTCTTCTAGGTTCTTCACGTCGGTCCAGGATATCCCTGTCTTCTCGTTTCCCACTGTCTGACGCATAATCCAGTCCACCACAATTAGGAATATCAATTGGTGATAATAAGCACCATTGTCTGACTCCTGTGTTTACTCCAAACAGACTACATGGAGTTTATTTATACAGTTAGTTATTCAAGGAAACAAAGAAGAGACAAAGAAAGAACTACTACTAAGGTCATGGTTGTAATAAAAGTGGCTGAATGAAATGCTTCTGAACAACACAGGGTTCGGGTTTCTCCTTATTTGATTGAACGCCAGTCACTAGTATGACGTGTCTAGTCCTTTCGTTGTTTGGTGCAGACTGGATTCTATCAGTCAGGTACTTGCAATGTGGCCACCATTCTAAGTAGCTCGCCATCAGAAGGGGCATGAGTTCCTTTGAGGTTGCAGATCCGCCTTGCTGAAGAGTGCCAACTGTCACGAAACCTAGATCAAGCAAGGCTTCCTGTGGCCGATTGCCTCCAACCATCTAATATCATCAAATCAATGTGCAACGTGATGGCGAACTACCTAGAATGGTGGCCACACTGCAAAACCTGACTGATAGAATCCAGTCTGCACCAAAGAAAGGACTAGACACATCCCACTAATTACTAGTGTCCAATCAAAATACCTAGTAAAGTCCTACAGGAGGTCAATCGCTAGCCCGAATAGCTCACTGGTAACGTCTCTGACTGCAGTGCTGACTGGTGAGTGCAAACTAGCACGAAACCTAGGTCAAGCAAAGCTTCCTGGTTTCTCCTTATGCGCATGATTGCATAAAGAATGATGTAGACGAAATCATCACCTCGTAGTTTCTATATGACTGACTGAAAGACGTCTTTGCTTTGCTGATGCTGTGTGACTAGAAGTAATAATGTTGTGCTCCCCATAATTGAGCTGTCGACAACTGTTTTACGTTCCCCTTTTTTGACAAAGTTAGTTCATGGACACGTATCTAGTAATGATGTAAATTTACGGAGAGAGAAAGAGGCCTCTTTTTGTGATTCATGTACTTCCCTAATTCTCTGAGCTAACAGTCATATCGGGTACACCGTGCTGATGATAATGAGCTCAGCCTCAAACAAGCGAAACAATCATCCGCGGATTAGATCTTCTTCGATCTATCTTGTAAGTAAGTACTACTACTGGTTGGCTGGTGTGGGTGGGATATAACTAGTCAAATGAATCGACTAGTAGTATATGACACCAGGTGTTTTATGTTTTATTGATATAAGTATAAAACTTGGGCACTGTGGTGGACGAGTATAACTCCATTATGGATAAGATTTTATTTTGATAAATCACACAGTGTTATACAGTAATATTAACTGATGACCACGTTTCGAGCACAATTTATTATTGCCACTCATAATCATATCAAGTCACTCACTCACACAACTTCTTTCCTTCATTTATATACATGAGTGGAATTGATGACTAGACATTTGAATAAAAATTAATATGGGATAACGTACATTCAGAAATAATAATAATATGAGTGTTATTGATCAATTACAATCAGATGGGAAATAAGACGAGTGTTTTTATAGTCAAAATAAGTAACTTCTAAGAATGTTTTGATGTGTTTGAATGGGAATAGAATTTTAAGATTATTTATTATCCTCTTCTGATTTGACTGACTGACTGGTGGTAATAATATCTTCCATATTTCTGATATTTGCATTGAGTCATTTCTGTTGCATGTGTTGGGTGTAGACTCGATGAATCAAGATTCAGTAATCAATCTCTCTCTCCACCTACATAGATTACTTCTTAGAATCTTAACCCTTTCCCACCCCATTGTGTGGTTGTGTGTTATTGCATGTAGTGCAATTGCTGAGCTTTTTTCTAAATTACTCATCTTCTCGGGGTCAATCATTCTTGCCTTAGCCAAATTCTTATGTTCCGACAGTCTGATTACCCCCGATCTTCTAGTTTGACCTATATAGTTGACCTCACTCACAGTCATTGCAGGGTATTTTGTAAATTACATTATTTTGTCTTATTGGGTCCACCGGGTCTTTTAGCTTACAGAGCTTGTCCTAACTGAGTGAGTTTGTAGGTTTGAATGCCGGCCTAATTCCTGCTTTATTTAGAATCCTACTGAGGGTCTCAGATGTCCCCTCCTTATATGGTATAACAGTAGATGACTTATATTCTCTCTTATTTGTGTTATCATTACTAGTTTCATAGTAAAACACTCGTCTTATTTCCCATCTCATTGTAATTGATCAACAACACTCATATTATTACCACCAGTCAGTCAAATCAGAAGAGGATAATAAATAATCTCAAAATTCTATTTCAATTCAAGCAAATCACAACATTCTAACAAGTTACTTATTTTGACTATAAAAACACTCATATTATTATTTCTCAATGTACATTATCCTATATTACTGATTTTATTCCAATATCTAGTCAATTCCACACATGTATATAAATGAAGCAAGAAAGTTGTGTGAGTGAGTGACTTGATATGATTATGAGTGGCAATAGTTTGTGCTCGAAACGTGGTCGCATCAGTTAATATTACTGTATAACACAACACTGTGTGATTTATCAAAATAAAATCCATAATGGAGTTTTATGTTTTACTTTCTTTGAAATT